TAGTGACATCTTCTCTCATGACTTCCTTCTCTCTTTTTCTCTCTATGGGTTTTGTCTTCTCTACCCCTTCAATATCAATATATAACTTCCGTTAAGTTAACCGTTTAAATGTGTCCGTGTGTGCTAACAAACTCATGTCTTCTCTCTCCCCCCTCACTTCCTCACTTCGTTAATTTACATATGTTTAATACTGCCCGTCAAAAATGTGTAAATTTTCTTTTCATTTTTGTTTGAAAATAAAGTCTGATGATCCGCAGTACTTTTAAAAGTGAAATAATTTAATACATGGAACCTTAAAGTGGTCTGTTTTTATTTAAATTATTTGCTCTGAATTTACATTGAGCTCTCTGGATTTTATCCTCCTTAGGTTTACCCATACGGATTACCTAGTTTTTCATAAACTATATATATATATATATATATATATATATATATGTGTGTGTGTGTGTGTGTGTGTGTATTCCGTATATTTTGGCAGAATATTTTCATTTAAACATGTCCGATTTAAAAAATTAGACATGCTAGGATTACTTTTCTTCAACAAGATCCTTTCGTAATCACGTTTTATTGTTCCCCAGTTAAAGAAAGTATATATATATATATATATATATATATATATATATATATATATATATATATATATATATATTATATATATATATATATATATATGACTATGAACCTAAAAGAGCCAAACAAACCTACCTAGGTTTCAACTATGCACCCTGACAATCCGCGTAGGTGAAAGCAAGGTAGGTTTGTCTGGCTCTTTTAGGTTCATAGTTAGATTTGCTCTACTTAGCGTATTGAGCACTTTTACTTAGTTACTTTTGCTTTACTCGTTTGGGAGGTTTTTTTTTTGGAGTTTGGATTCTGGTCGATGATTTTCGTCTGAAGGTTTTTCCGGGTGAGTATACCTACTTATTTATAAGATTATTATTATTATTATTAAATGGTGCAGTATAATTTATATGATAAAAGTAGTCATACGAAGAATACATCAGTAATTGCATTAACTTTACTGATTTATTCTTTGTATGACAACTTATATATATATATATATATATATATATATATATATATATATATATATATATATATATGTATATATCAGTGTGTTAGTTCTAGTTTGGGAATATCTATCTCAATCCGTTCATTTCAATCAATTTGTACATATTCCATTTTACCAAAAGAATCGTGACATAATAATATTTTCTATGTCTTCGTATAGTGAATCATACTTTGTCACGCACATACACAATCATATATATATATATATATATATATATATATATATATATATATAATTATATTCTTCAGCTAAAATCTTCTACCATATCATAAAATTTTTTCTAAATATATATATATATACACACACACATATACACATATGTAATATATATATATATATATATATATATATATATATATATATATATATATATATATATATATGTTCGTGTGTGTATTTCGATATTTATAAACACGTATAAATTTCTAGCTAAAAAACATTTTCATGCAGCTTTTTCACACCCTGTTTCACTCTAAATATTGCCTAAAACATTCCAATCAATTCCATTGCATAACGTAACGTATACATTTTTGCTTTCATACGAACGAATATAAACGCTGTAGAAGTTTAAATAGCGTGCTAAATTTAGTATCATTCCGCAGTTTTCTTAATAAAAGCTTAAAAATATATCGGCCTCATCTTGACGTAATATTCTCTTCTGTAAAGGTACTATATATAACATCTATCTTGTCGTCAGTGTTCAGGCTTTAATAAAAGCAGGATTTTGATTGCCATTTTAATGATTTGAAAAACACACTGTTCACGTTCTCTGTTAATCGATTTGTGAGATTACTGAATGTATATTTGTCTGATGTCGAAGTTCAAACCCTGGTAAAAGCTCACCATTTTATATTATTCTCTGTCCCTGTTCAAAAGCAGAAAATACTAAATATAAGCTAAAATTCTTTTCAGGGGCTATTTCTTTATTTTTTAGGTTGTAAAATTTAAAACAACCCCAACACGGAAATTAAATGCATCAATAAAGATAAAATAAATTAATCGAAACAAACCCTTCTAATGCATTCATACAACTTAAGGCTATTATATCTACTACTATTAGTAAACAAACAAAAGGGCGTGAAAGAAATCAGTTTGAAAAGAGTTTATATGACTGCTGATGGATTTTCAGTGTTCAATCAGTAAAGCGTCGTTCCTGTCAGACGAGCTCCCAAGAAAGCAAAATATAGTTTAAATCAGGTTTAAAGCTACTTTTATTTTCGATCCATGCTGCTTACTTAACGGTCGTAGAATGCAAAAACGATCTGAACCCTACGGTATAGAGCAGCAGAACTTGACACTATGAAATGTTAATATCACATTGTTTATATCTGTAACGCTCTATCTTCGATATTGAGCACTCATCTGCGATAAATATAGAAATGCTTTTGCGTTATATATATATATATATATATATATATATATATATAC